TTTCTCACTCCTCACTCACAGCTGCTGTAAAAAAAAAAAAAAAACCAAAAAAAAAAACCCCCACAACATTTTTTAATCCTTTCCTGAACATTATCACAGAGATACCACTAGTGTCGCTCATGGGTTCAGCTTTGGCCAGTGGTGAGTCCCTTCTGGAGCTCTTTGGAACTGGCTATATTTGATGTGGGGCAGCTCCTGGTGTTTTCTCACAGAAGCCATCTCTGCTGCCCCCCTGACTACCAAAACCTTGTCATATAAACCCAACACAGGGGATAATGCTCTAGTAGTTGCCTTTGAGGGAGGTAGGAAGTGATTGAAACCCTAATTAAGCATGAAGCAAATAGATGGATAATTCTTCCTCCAGATTTGGTTGGTTTGGGGGATTTTTTTGATGTGGTGAGTAAAGATATTCTCCTTGTAGGTGAATACATACAGGACATGACCTCACTTTTTTCTAACTTTTGATGTTCACAGACAGAAAGAGAAGAGCACAAGGGCTTCCTGTGACTTGCTTTGCATATGCGTTTCATATACAGCAGTGTTGTTAAAATGGACTTGGATGTGAAATAAAGTGTTGCTATCTGTGCTGTTTTCACAGAATTATAGAATCACTTAGGTTAGAAAAGACCTCAGAGACCCTTGGCACCACCTTGTCAACTAGACCACGGCACTAAGTGCCACATCCAGTCTTTCCTTAAACACCTCCAGGGACTGTGACTACCACCTCCCTAGGCAGTCCATTCCAATGTCTAATCACCCTTTCTGTAAGAAATTTCTCCTGATATCCAATCTGAACCTCCCCTGACACAGCTTGAGGCTGTGTCCTCTTATCCTGTCCCTAGTTGCCTGGGAGAAGAGACTGATGCCCACCTGGCTACAACCTCCTTTCACGTAGTTGTAGAGAGTGATGAGGTCCCCCCTGAGCCTCCTTTTCTCCAGGCTAAACAATCCCAGCTCCTCAGCCACTCCTCATAGGACTTGTGCTCTAGACCCTTCACCAGCATAGTTGCCCTTCTCTGGACTTGCCCCCCCACCTTAATATCCATCTTGTAGTGAGGGGCCCAGAACTGGACGCAGTACTTGAGGTGTGGCCTCACCAGTGACAAGTACAGGGGTTTTGATGGCAACTGAAATTCGCTTAAGAGGCACCACTGAAACTGCTTAATCTGACCTGAGATATTTTCATAATCTCTGTAACTCGTCCATCCAAATATGAGAAAATGCAAGAATAGGCAGCGACATCATCAGTTTGGTTGTTCTTAGATTGCAGCAAAGCATTTAAGGACTTCATCAAAGAGTAGACTTAAGTGAAAACTTTTGCGTAAGCTTGAAATACATTGTACTGAAAAAAAAAGAAGTATAGTGCTGACTTTCCTCTATTTGTAAGTATGGACAATATCAACTCAATCTAAATGCTGTCAAATAAGTACTATATTACTTTCCAGACTCCGAGGACACTATTTACTACATAAACTTTGGAAACAGTGAGTGACAGTTCTTTGTTTCATTCTTGTGCTTTCTGTAGAAGTGCAAACAGTTGTGTTTGCTATGAGATCTCTAGTTGTAGTCTCAAAACATGGAATATAAAGTATGAAAGTATGAAAGATAAAGTATAAAATAGAACAGTTCACTGGCAGCAGCCACTGCTGGCATGGAATTGTTCACCTTGCGTATCACTTCTATGTCCTCCTCGTCAATTTTTCTTAGCAGAAGGAAATCCTGAGAGTAGTTGAAGTAGAAGACACAATGGATCTTGCTGAAGAATGAAACTTGGAGGAAAAAGAGTTAGAATGGATAGCTGTGTAGTTTGCTTTTAAACCTGATCATGTGATCTCTTAGTCACATGAATAGATGCTTGTTGACTTGCTCCCTAGACAGACATTTGAGGTTTGAGTCTCGTCCTGTATCCGAAGGAAAACTGTTATTAAGGAATGCCCGTGTCTGGTTTAGATGCACTGGCTGGCCGTTTTCTCCTAATTAATTTTAACGGGTGTTTGATAGAATAGAGCTTCTTGGCAGCTCTCTGATCTTAATAGCTTCTGAGAAAATGCATTGATTGGCCCTTTTGTTTTCAAAAGACTGCTGTAATTTTCAGTCATTATCTACAAGGAAATCAGTGTAATTTATTAAACCAGCATCATGGATTAAGAATTAAAGACCTGATTCTTTTAACACTTAAACTGGTGTTATATTGATGTTACCCATGAGGAGCTTTAGTAAGACAAAGAGTAAGTGGAAGATGTTCATCATGAACTTTTAAAAAGCAAGTTTCTAGATCTCTTTCATAAGCTCAGAACTGATTGTTTTTGTTGCTTGTACCAAGAATAAACTGTATTTCTTGGAGTTTGGGTATGAAAACAGTCCAAAAACTATCATATTAAAAAAACCCCAACTTATAAGAACGAGCTTATGTCTGAGAAACAACACTTAGCTAGCACTCTGTATACAGTGCTTGAGTTGCAAATTCTGTAGGAAAAACAGCTTGCATTTAATTAGAAGAGAAAATTATTCTGTGTAGTCTCCCTACTTTTCAGAAAATAAAAATTTGAGTAGTGTCTCTGGCTTCTTGTTCTTTTTGTAGGCTAGCTCGATTAGATGCATTTCAATGGTACTGCTTAAGTAAATTTAGTTTGTCTTACAAACAGGTCTTAGAAACTTTACAGAATTGAAATTTGATGGCTGAGCTGTGAAAGCAAGGAATAAATTGCTTTCTGAGATTCCACTGTGACTTCACAAAATTGTAAGACAATAACTGTTTTATCAGGGTCATCTCATCGTTGTTTATTTTAATTCCATGAAGTTTTGTTTTAAAGACCCAGCATGAAGTAAATGATTCACATAAATGTAACATTTTAATGCAGTTTGACCGCTATTATATTAAAAAGTTACTAAAAAAAAAAAGAGCTGGTGGACTAATTGGTGGACAAAATGACTGGTTCATCCTCGTTACAAAGTCTGTTGATTGGCTGCTTACTACAGTAGATTTCTGTTGATTATATCACAGTGAGTTTTCAGGTCTCCACTGTAAGTTGATAGCACTCCAGTCCTGTTTTATTTATGGCTGTTGTTTTTATTTTTTATCCAATGCCTTATTGATCTCTGGGAATTATGTTAGAGTGATTTTGTGGGATGGAATTAAGCAGACTGACTAACACAAAAAGACTTTTGACCAGTTTTAGCCAAGGATGGTGGGATAAACCCAGTCATCAGGGGTTTGGACACTGTACAGTCTTTTAAACCATCCACTTGTAAGCGGCTGGTTGCTTGCTTCCATTCTGACTGTTTTAAAGAAGTTTTCTGCCTTTTTTTCATTTTTATTTTTTTTGTTTCATTTTTGGCTCAGTCTTCAGAGTGTGCAATGGAAGGGCTGGAGAATGAAACACAACAATGAATTTTACTAGACATTTCTCATTCTGCTTAACCTTCAACAAAAACAAAGCATTTGGTCAAAGCCTCAGCTAGTAAATTGTCTGCCACCCTAAGAATCGTGTCTTTAATAAAAAGGCTGGTTAAAGCTGGACAAGCGTTTTGCTAGTATCATGGCAGTGGTTACTACAAAGAATAGAGGCCTGTTCTGCCGTTCTGAGCTACAGCTGGTGTCAGCTGTGGTGCTGAATAGTACAGCAAGATAAAGGGAACAAAAGGGCACATTTTTTTCTGCTAATAATAGGCTTGGAACTGCCATAAACTCTTTACATAAATTATAGAACAGTACCCGTTCTCTTTCTTAAATTTTTCTTTATCTTCCTTGTGGTTGAAGACCTGGCTAAATAACTTCCGAAGGCTTTGCAGTGATTCTTGTGTGTGCTTTTTGCTGTGGTAAGCAGAGTCAGCAAGGGCAGTAAAACAAATGTTTCAGGACACTGATCTAGACTCAGTGCCTCACAAAATGGGGTCTCATATAGATTAAAAGGATAAGCATAAAGATTTTTTTTCATCAATTAATTCCCTGGGATGCTGACAGCTGCTGTCTTATTATTGCATGTGACTGGCATATTCAGAAATACTGTCTCAGGACTTCCTCCCTGGGAAAACTCTTCTACACCTCAGAGGGGGAAACAGCAGAGGAATGGAACAAGATGGCAGCACCTCCTGTTTAACTGTATTCAGAATACTGGGGTGGGGGGTGTTTACTGAGAGATCATGTCTTCATTCTAGTGTTGGTGGTAATGAGGGTGGGGGGAAGTCAGTAAAGTGTTTAGTAGGTCAGAATACCCTGCAGAGGACACTTACTCTGAATGCTCAACTGCTAAGGTTGGACTGGACCTTTCCAAAATTATAAAAACATTTCTCAGGTAACCTAAGAGTTGATTTCTTTCTGAAAACACTGCTGGGTCATGGGTCATTGCTGTTATTGATGTTTCCTTTCTGAGTTTATGGATTATAACTGACAGAATTGCAGTTTTGAGGAATAATTGAACAAATTCTGTGTATTGTGCATTGCCAAGCTTTTATTCTCTTGCCAAAATCAACTGTTATTTGAATGTGAGACAGAAATAAGACAATAAGGCTAGAATTAAAGGGCTGCTACCTTTAGGTTGCAGAGCATGGCTGACATAGCTTGTAGAGAAAGGCACAAATCCTAACAAGGCTCTAAAGCTTGTGTTTACTTTGGAGCTGCTCTTGAAGATAGCAGATGTCACAGTTTATGTCTTATAAAGTACAGACAATTCAAATCACAATGTAAGTGGATTATTTACTCATTTTTTATCAATAAAGACCTGGTGGAGGAGTACTGTAGTCCAAGGAGTGGAGTCATATGCTCATGAGTTTTGTAGAATTAGGATTAAAATGTGAAAATTTGTTTCCAAAGCGAAATGTAAATTGATTCAGAATATAGTATTCTCCTTCCATACTTACTTTTGCAAATATTGTCATCAGGGCTCTTTCTACAATAAGTTTCATTTTAGTGTATTTAAATGTAAAATATGAAGCCTATATTAAGTCTGTTTATAGAAATAAATGCACTCTCTAACTGCTGATACTATTTGGTTTTGCAGGTCGTCTTCTGAATTTTGTGTCCGAAGGTACCCTCTTGCTTTCTCAACAAATCATGGACATCATTGGCTTTCTGAAGTCTCAATTCATTTGCCACCTTCTGATCTGCTACATATTTATAGTGTCAGGACTGATCATTAACTTCATTCAACTCTTCACACTTATACTTTGGCCAATCAACAAACAACTGTTCAGGAGGATCAACTGCAGGCTGGCTTACTGCATTTCAAGCCGTAAGATTTCATTTTGTTTTTTAAAGTATTTCATGTTTTGTCTTGAGGGAATTGATAGAAAAGTACTGGTTTTCAAAGTAACCTTTATAAAGGTCGTGACTGCTTCCTACAGCACCTGCATTTGTGTGAAGAGATGTATGCTTTGTTGAAATGTCTTCTTGTGTTGAAATGTTTTGCCCTTTTATACTGGAATACTTGCTGGACTCAGGATGTTGAAGAAAGAATGCCTCTCATTTGGCTATCCATCAAGTTCCATTAAGCCAAATGAAAAATATTGACCAAATAATGCATCTTATCAAGTTCGGCTATTATCTGTGGGCCTACAGTGTTAACAAGTCGGTTCCAATAATGCTTTCAATCTTTTTATCATCCATGATTTTGTTTATGATCTTGATTTAAGTATTTCACGTGCAAATACTGTTCAGGACTGGGAAATAACAGTAAAAAAAGGGAAAATCTTCAATTTCATATGCTTCTTTCTTAAGCTAGTTATGAACTGTTGTTTCTTTGAATAGGCATTTCAGACCTTAAGCTGCATCTGTCTGTATTCAGTATATGCATGTAGTTATAACGTAGAATACAGCAGGTAGCCTGTAACCATTTCAAAGAAGCAGGGGTTGCAATTATTTTGATTTTCTGGGGGAGTTGGGAGCATGAGCTGAGGATATTTATTAGTTGTAGAAAGACCAGACCTTTGAAACTGTTGAGAGATGTGAAAAGTCACTGTCACTTGACTGAACAGGTAATTCCAGTGGAATGAATGAGAGCTGTACCGATTCGTTTGTTCTCTGTTAGTAGGAGTTTGGTAGAATCTCCACCTGACAACAGTGAATTATCGGAGCATGTGCAATTTTCTTGATATAATCAGTCTACTTATGTATTTGCTTTAAAAGAGCTATGACTGCAGCTTCAGCACAGTTTTATTGCACTGCCACTCCCTGACTTTCTCATAGTTGCTCTAGATTTACAGCAGAGAGAACTCTTCACAGAAACTGTTAAAAAATGCTAATGTTCAGTATCTGGGAGCATGCTTTTAAATGTGTCCACCTTCCAGAGAGATTTCCTTGGGCCTTTCTGAAACTTAGAAGTACATTCTAAAAAGGAGACTATTGCAAGATGCATGCCTTTAGATACTCCCTAAAGATTATTCAAGTGTGATGTCACTGTCAATGCTGAGTGAGTTATGGATGTTTTCATACTGGGGAAAACAACCCTCCAACACAGTGTTTAAGAAATGCAGCAAAAATGGTTTCTTTCAGGTCACCTGTTCTGCTACTAAGAAACTGAAAAGGGAAAGCATTGTTAGTATTCATAATAAGCTGCTTGAAGTAGAAATCTGTCACATGCCTCAACTGGGGGACCAGTAGGGATTATTTATCTTTCATCAGTGACTCTGATGAGCAACTATTCAAAGCATTTTTTTAAGACATACTTTTTTACTTAAATTTCAAAGCTGCATCGGCGTGTATAGCCCCAAATAAATTGGGGATGCTGTTTTATTATTTCTGTAGTGTAGAAAAAATGTTCTTTCTGAAAAAAGTGATTTTTACTATCTGTGTGTGTCCCTGAAGAGAGTATGCAAGTACTATGCATTTGATTGTACAGTAACATTGAATATGACCAAGTTTCTACTTTTGCCTGGCAGCATAGTATATGTTTGAAGCCGTGGAATTTAGAAGATACTGTACATCTGTATACAAGTGTATATTATTATTTTTTCATGCAATGCCTTCTGACCCATTCTTCCTTTTGGCTGCTTAGTGCAGAGATATCAACTATGCTAGTCTTCAGGCTGAATCCTTCAGTTTGGCTCAATCTAGTCTCATCTAGGAGATGGACAGTGTGTAAGAGGGAGTAATACTGCATGCTTATCCTTGGTGGGGCAGGTGGCTTTGTACTCAGGGTGACTGATCTAGTCTTTAGTGCTGATGCCACTGGAATAGATTATGTTGTGAATTTTTTGTCCAGTCATGCTCAGAAGAAACCTATGTCTAGGTTAAAGTAATTTATTTTAGCTTTACAACAGAGCAAGCTAGCATTTGATATGAGTCACTTATCACATCTACCTGAGTGATATTTGAAAAGGGGGAAATGTGGTTAAAAAGAATTTCAAAGAACTAAAGACCAATAAATCAAAATGAGTGTGGTTTTTCTAGTAGTATGTGTGTACAATAATGCCTTTTGGGGGCCATTGATGTGGTGACTAATAAATTAGTCAGGTCTATATGGGTCTGATGAAAGTCGTGGAAACAGCCTACAGCTGGAGAGAATGAAGCTTAGCATTGGAGAATATAAAGAGGCACGTGCTTTGCGGTGGTGACAAGGATCATGTTGCTTTGAGAGGCTGATACAGCCTGAGTCACCAAGTCAACCGAAGAGTGAAGTAGAGCGAGCATGGTTTAATTTAAGAATGAAATGAAAGCAGCAGCTGTCTTTAGATCCTGCAAGTTCAATTGGTTTCCATTTGATGTCAAAGGTAGAGATAAATGGTTCCATAAATTGGAGGAGAACATTTTGTCTTTGACACTGTGCTCTTTGGGGAAGTTGGGTTTTTTTGTATTTCAAGTCGTGCTGTTTTCTTATACCTCTTTTCCTCATATCTCCTTTTTAATATAAGAACGTAATATTCTCACTTCTCGTGCAATGTCTGCTGTCATACTGCATATGGGAAGCTAATGTTATTGTGATTAACAGCTTGTCCTCACTTGAGTAGTACAGCTTGAGTCAAGGGTGCTTCTCTGTTCACACGAATCAAGCCAGACTAGCTCCAGTCAAAGTATTCACAGAATCATGGAATCATTAAGGTTGGGAAAGACCCTTATGATTGAGTCCAGCCATCAGCCCAGCGCTGTCAAGTCCACCACTAAACCATGTCCCTAAGAACCACATCTACACATCTTTTAAATGCCTCCAGGGATGATGAGTCAAATCTTGGGCAGCCTGTTCAAGTGCTTGACAACTCTTTCCATGAAGAAATTTTCCTTAATATCCATCATAAACCTTTCAAGATGCAATTTGAGTCCATTTCTTCTTGTCCTGTCACTTGGGAAAAGAGACCAACGCCCACATCGCTACAACCTCCTTTCAGGCAACTGTAATGAGTGATAAGGTCTCCCTTGAGCATCCTTTTTTTATCAGCCGCTCCTCATAAGACTTGTACTCCAGACCATTCACCAATTTCTTACCATAAAATGGTTGTATGGAGTAACTGTGGTAGTTGAGCACACGTAGCTGTGGGAACTACTGCTTCTCTACTGTGAGTTTTGGCAACAGCACTACAGCTTCTCTTCGTAACTACGTAACTTCAGCCAGCAGGCTAAAACCATGGACTTCAGACTTTTCATCAATGCAAGTTAAAGAAGAGGTGGAAACTTGGCTTCCAGTTTGAATTTACAGTGAAAAAGATTAACTAGAGCAACAACTTGCTTTTAATGGAACAGAGCACGTATAATGGCACACACCAAGTTACCTTCCATAATTGGTGTTGAGAAGTTGTTGCCTTTCTTGAAACCACTTGTGAGTCAGGGTGAGTTTAGCTTCTTTATTGACCTGCTTAATTATGTATTAGCATTGGGGAGAACTTTTATTGAGAGTGTTGCAAATGAAAAAATACTGGTTCTGATAAACTGCCAGCTTTTTATGAAATTTGAATTGAGTAACTGTTCTTTAATTGCAGATTGGAAGCCTTGTTCAGTTCAAGTGTCCTGCTCCCCAAAGGTATCTTATCCGTTCCCCATATTGCAGTTTGGGTTGCTTTTATATCTCCAAGATATTTTTCATGTTTTACTATAAGTAAACCCTTCCTATTTGATGCTGTTATCCCATTTGACAAATATCTACAAAGTAACAGTTAGTTCTAGTCCTATTTCCTCTGTGTGTCTTGACCTTTACTGAAGTGTTAGTTGCACACTGTGAACATTCTTGAAAAGAACAGACTTTGGGTTGTGTTAGTCTTAAAATGAGCCTTGAAAAGACTAGTAAGGGTTAGGCACCCTCGGTTGTGTTTTAAGTTTAAAGAAACAAAACAAAGAAGCCCCAAAAGAAACAATCAGCAAAAGAAACCATGCACACACGCAGGAACCCAACAACACCCCTTCCTCCCCCCCCCACAAAACCAAAACACCAAAGCCTTTGGGCTTCTAACTTTCAGAAAATATTTAATGGCTCCAAATATATATTCCTAGATTGCTTCAACTGCCTGTTAATCCAACCCCTTTTGTAAAATGACAACCCTGATCAACTCTCCCTAGCACTGAACTCAATTGAATGCACCCTACTAAGGAAATTGAACATTGCAAGCCTCAATAAGGTGATAGCAATAAAAATTTTAAAAGTAAGTGTGCTTGGAAGATGGCATAAGAACAAAGGTTGAGCAAACAATCAATCTTGGGGTTTATTTTTAAATAATTTGGGGATATATTGTTCTCAGTTTATTTTTCTAAAAGACTGAGAGCCAAGATGTATGCCAAGGAAGGAAGTACTTAGTGTGGAATACATACAGTTCTCATGGATGCTCTTTGTGCCCAGATTGGAAGAGGTGGGAATACATCTTCTTTCTTCCCCTTATGTGATAGAAAACCACCACAAAGGGTACACACAGCTATTCTGCACTAGCTTGTGAAGTTGACCAAACACATAGAGGGAAGAGGTTGTCTTGGGGTTCTTGCCGTATGTGCTGCGTAGCTTGTTGGGCAGTGGGAAAGTAGTGTGTCCTTTCTAAATCAGTTTGCGCTTGGTTGAGCAACGCACGCTGGGCTCCTGCAGGCTGTTTGGTACATAATTCTGCTGTGTGCCAGGACTACTAGAATGGGACATACACATACAGGATAAATGGCTTCTTTAGAGGTGCTGGGTGGAAGGTATTTGCCCGTAAGTGGAACAGTGGTTGTTAACTTGTCCTCTTGCTGCTGCTGTACTGGGGGAAAATGAGCTTCTTGTGCTGAGATGCCCCTTGTGCTCCCAGGGTGAGTGGCAGACTGGCCTCCCGCTGACTCACCGCA